CAAAGATGTCTGCTGAGATCCTGGGGCCTTTCCCTATATCTTGTCCTGCTTACTGTTGCTCAGGAGTGTAGGAGTGGCTTTATCTTCCCACAACTGACAGAAACAAGCCTAAAAACACTGCTCAAATCTTAACTGTACTTTCTTCCAAATCTCAGCCTTTTAAAGAGCAATTGGATGAAAACAATGGAAATACAACTTTTCCCCAAAACAGTTTTAAGTACCTTGCCCTTTTCAAAAGGACAAGGTTGTCCAGAGCTGCTTCTACCATAGTGTGAGGTAATTATGGACACAGGACTTCGATTTTATTATTTTTGTAATAACAGCAAACTTATTTACTGAGTCGGCACTCCCTTTTATGATTATCCTTGCTTTACAGGAGAGGAAGTTGAGGACACGGAGGTTATATAACTGCCCAAGGCACACAGTAGTTTGGAAAGAGCCCGGTTTTCACCTGGACAGGCTGTTGTAGAGTCTGCCTTCTGCATGGTCATGCTCAGGTTAACTGGAGAAGGGAAAAGCATCTTCCCCTGATTTCTCCTGGCTGCAATCCATCAGGACATATTGAAGGCGTGAACTTGGGTATATAGGTGAAAGTGGAGGAAAGGGGCCAATGAAGGTGTATTTAGGAAATATGTATTTAGTCTAATTTGAGAACATACATTCAGGGAGGGCAAGGTAGCATTTATTGTGAGAGTGACACCTGAAACAACCCCAGCTGAGGTGGCTGAGCTCTCCCCAGAGTGTTTCCATGACTTACTGCAGGGATGGGTGGGTTTGCCATCGGGGCTAGAAGGCAGAATATGTATGTGATCAGGCAGGTATTTCTGAGTTGAAGTGAAAAGTGCTGGATATAACTACACTGAAGAAGAGTGATTCAGTTCCTCTTTACCCCCTGTTACTCTTTCATAGAAAGAAGAAATTCTGTTTAGGAAATCTTGAATGTGTCTGAGACTACAAAACCTTTGGGGATGAAGAAAGGGGCTATTGGAATACAAGTGAAAACCCAGGATCTCTGAGGAGCTAAGAAGTGTGTGTGTGTGTGTTTGTGTTTGTGTTACTGGCAACTAAACCTGGGTCCTCACACATGCTAAGCAGGCTCTCTTTCCAAGCCACATCGCCAGCCCGAAGAAGCCTTGGGAGATGAAAGGAGGATAAATGAAAGCATATCACCATGGAAATCTGAGACAGAAAAGGAGATTAAGTAAACAGTATTGTAGCCAAAGTCATACCAAGAAAACACAATCCAAAAGCAAAGGTTTGGGGACTGGAGGAGTCGCTCAAGTGGTAGAGTACTTTGCCTAGTAATTGCAAGGGCCGAAGTTCAAACCCCAATACCACCACCAAAAAAAAAAAAAAAAAAGAAAGAAAAAGAAAAAGGACAAACATAAGGTTTCAGCCAGGTTCTGGCTCACACATGTAATCCTAGCTATTGGGAGATTGCCATCCAGACTGGCCTGGGCAAAAAGCTAGACCCTGTCTCAAAAATAACCAGAGCAAAAGGGCTGGAGGTGTGTGGTGGGGGGGTTGGAGAGAAAGCAGTGATAACTTTGTAAAATATTGTGGGCTCCATAGTGGTGCTTAGAACAATATTTACAACGGGCTGATTTTTAATTCCCAGTGGACTTTGCGTATGCTAGCTCGCTACCACTTGAGCCATGCCTCCAGTTCTTTTTTTTTTTTTTTTGAGATAGGATCTCGATTTGTAGCCCAGAAACTTTGAACTCAGGATCTTCCTGCCTCAGTCTCCCAAGTGCTGGAATTACAGACATGTGCCACCACAACTTGAGGGTTGATCTTAAGATGGTTTTGTGCCTCCAGTGGCATGTCTCCTGCAGAGAGAGGAAGCAAGAGCAGAGTCTGAGTTGTAAGCGTTATTAGAGTCAGCAAGAAAGAAAAGGTGGTGTGCAGAGAGAGGTATTTGAAGTTCTCCTTAAAGCGTTTTCTGCTATGGAGTTAAAACCAGACTATCAGCATAGCGCCCTCTAGAGTCTGAGCGAGTCACTGTGGCTTTGCCTATGGTTTAAGAGCAAAGATTTTTTTTTTTTTTAAGAGGTTTCAGTAGTAATCTGTGATCCAGGATTTACCTGGTGCACTAGACTGTTGCTCTGACCTTGAATCTCACCACCACCTTGTCCCCAAATGGGGTGTTCAGACTTGACCCACCTTAGGTCATATGGGATTATCTGTGCGTGCTTGGGAATTTTCCTAATGCCATTGAGGAGAAGATTTGGTACTGTTCCTTGTTTGAAATAAAAGTCATAGTCTTTAGTTTCAATTTAACTTGCAGCTTAAAATTTTACCAGTATAACAGAAACATAACTTTACACAGCAGTCCCTGATGTTGTATGATGCCAGGTGTGCCAGTGACTTTCCTTAAAGTGGCCATTTCTAGATGGATTCTCTTTCTCCCTTTCCTCCTTTAAATTACTGAGGTTAAAAAAAAAAAAACCAAACTGCCCGAAGCTCTTTTCTCCTAGGAAGGCAGCTATGCTCACCACTATACCACCAATGCTCTTTTCTTCTATATCAGGATTAAGACCCTCCTTCCCCCCTTCCCTGCCTCCTTTCCTTCTTTCCCTCCTTCCTTCCTATTATTATTATTATTCGTTTTGGTGGTACTGGGGTTTGAACACAGGCCTTTACTTTGAGCCACTCCACCAGCCCTATTTTTGTGAAGGGTTTTTCTTGATAGGGTCTTGAGAACTTTTTTTGCCTGGGCTGGCTTTGAACCTCGATCCTCCTGATCTCTGCCTCCTGAGTAGCTAGGATTACAGGCATGGGCCACCAGTGCCCGGCATTATTATTATGAACCATAGGCGTTCACTGTGTTGCTCAGGCCTTGAACTCTTGGGCTCAAGTGATCCTACTGCCTCGGCCTGTGGAAAATGGGATAATAGAATGTAGCACCTGGGTTTAAATGAGATGATGCCCATTAAGCACTTAGCATAAAGCACCTGACATCTACAACTTTGCTCAGTCCCAGCTAATCAGCATTAGCATAATCATTTTTGTTCACAAGAGCACCTAGTTTCCTCCGAAGGAGGGACTAGGGAAGAAAACCTCAGACTTTATGTGGAAGCACTGATTTGGAAAGTGGTTATTCAACAAGTTAGTACCACCTGTGTTTGAATCCGTGCACTGTACCTGGTGCTTGGAGAGATTCTGAAGGCATGATCTTTGGTGTCAGAGTGTTTATTATCTTTTTTTTTGGGGGGTACTAGGGTTTGAACTCAAGGTCTCATGCTTGCTACTGCATCTGAGCCATGCCTCCAGCCCAAAGTGTATATTATCTTGTTAGCAAAAAATTGTGATAGTGATGACTACGTGGGAGCTAGTGGTGGTGCTCTATGGTGTTGGTGTGATTAATGCTATGTTACTGCCTAGGAAAGCTTCTTGGGAAGCTTTTGGAAGGTGGAAAGCTTTGATCAGTGCCTCCTCTCTGTGGGGCCCACCTGTCAATGTTCTCACTTTATTGACAGCTCTCTACATCAACCCTGAAGGAGAAAAGACACTACACCTTAGGCATGCAGTGGAAGCTGATATGGGAGTCAGATACACATGGCTTGAGCCCTGGCTAATCCACTTTCAGGCGATATGACGTTAGCCAAATTATGTAACCTCCTAGCTTCGGGTCTCTTCTAAGTCTCAGTGTTGTGGCTGGTGCACTGGGTATCAAAGATTTCAGGAAGGCCAGAGTTAAAGCAGAAACGAAGTTAATTTACTTTCCAAGGGTGGAAAGAGTCAGCTGTCATAAAAAGTATCCATGCTGTGAGCTTTTGTGAGGCGCAGGGGTTGTAGGAACATGGGTGGGGAGTGGAACAGACTTTTGACAGGAGGTGGGATGGGTATCCTGACTTGATCAGCATGTTAACTAAGGTGTGGTTTGGCCTGGAGACATGTCTCTGAAGTTTCTCAGTACTGTGGTTTCTTATAATAGAATAGACAGGTTACTAGCTGGTCTGGTCTGAAAAGGTTAAGAAAAGTTAGGTGAGAGCCTATAAAAAATAGAATTACTCATTCCCATTTGTTAGCTTTGTAGAGACAACAAAGTCCAGTGTGATGTCTGGACCACATTACATGCTGTGAACACTTTATATTCCTTCTTCCTCTGCTTCTTGACTGCCCTCCAAGAATTAATAAAATTAACACCTAGATTTGATCACTCAGTGGCCTTCCTCCTTGTCACCAGGACTTTACTTACCCCTGCCAACTGGCAATAGGAAAAAAGCTTAGTAAGCAAATTCTTCTCTACTATTAACTGTGAACACCAGAATAGTTCAGATTACTTTTTGAAACCATGAGAGTGGCCAAAGTGCAGGTCCTATGTGTTTCCTTGGAGCACCTAAAACTCAAATAGGAGGTTTTAGAAGAGAGGTCTGGGTATTAGTCTGTGTGCTGATATAAGGGGAAAGGAGAGATTACAGTCCTCACAGGCACCTACTAGAAACTCCCTCAATTCTTTCTCTGTGGGAGTTTGCCAGAACAAACAAATCTGTGTCTGAGAACATGTTTTTTCAGGATGGAAGGATCTGATATAGCAGGCAGATCTAGAGATCCAGAGGCAGCCCAGACATCCTTTCTCCTAGGGGCTTATCTAACCAACTTTTTTCTTAGTCTGGGAAAGTTGCACCAGTGGATGGGATGGGGTTGCAACTATTTCTGGACCTGAAGTTCTGCTCTAGGATTGGGCTCTGGCTTATAGGGCAGTTGGCTGTTTCATTAGAGCTTTATCCCACCCTGTAACAAGTCACTAGTGACTAGTGACTAGTGTTGTCTATGTCATTGTTTGGGTCATTTGCTCTGTTGTTCAGGAGTGTGGTAAAGAGCTGGACAGGCTATTTCAGCATGCCTTCAGTACTCATGGAGAGCAGTATGGTCTGAGCTTGTGTTAGTTCTAGGAAGAAATATTTAAATGAAACTCTGTTTAAAAAGATGGGAAGTATTCACAAGGCTAAGTTATTATTGCATGCTAAAAACTTTTTCTGTTTTGTTTCTTCTAGGAGAACTATCCAATCCCTGAGCCAGGCCCAAATGGTAGGTCCTTGAGAAACTGAGCTGGTATTTTATTTCCTGTTGTTTATGTTGGAGACATGTATTCATTACTTTTGCATAACTGTGACCAAAATACCTGACAGAAGCAACCTAAGGGAGGAGGGATTTATTTGGCTCATGGTTTGAGAGATTTCAGACCATTGTTCCATCAACTCTGGACCCATGGAAAGGCAGAACATCATGGCAGCAGAAGTGTGTGAAGGAGGAAACTGTTCTCCTCATGGAAGACAGGAAGCAGAGAGTGAGGAAGGGACTGGGGATCAGGTGTAACTTCAAAGGAGTGTCTCAAGTGACCTGCTTCTCCAGCTAGGTCCCACCCCCTGAAGTTTCCAAGGACCAAGCCTAGAACACGTGAGCCTTTTGTGGGGGGACACTTCAAATCTATGCCACGGCCCATGTGTATTATTCCCCTACTCCACTTTACCTACTGTTTATTATTTTTGCCTCCATTAATAAAACAAACTAAGAATGCTTTTGTTAGGTTGAAATCTAGTCCACTCTCTGCAACATACAAGGCGGATAAGTTTACTATTTATATTGGCTGCTATATGAAGTAAAACAAAGAGTGATAGAACCAGTACTGTGGCCTGCAATCCCAGCACTTGGGAAGCTAAGGCAGAAAGATCATGAGTTCAAGGTCAGCCTGGGCTACATAGCTAGGTCAAGGCTATCTTGAGCTACATAAAGAAATTTTGAAACTCCATCTCAAAAAACCAAGGGCTGAGGATGTAGCTCAGTGGTAGGGCTTGCCTAGCATCTGGAAGGCTCTGAGTTTGATCCCCAACACTACACAACAAAACAACAGAAAAATTACAATATCAGACTGTTGATTTATCCCAGCAAGATTTGTTCTTTTTTTTTTTTTTTTTTTAAATCTAATGTGAGATAGGGTTTCTGAATGTAACCCAGTCTGGCCTCAAACTCTAGATCCTCCTACCTCAACCTCCCAAGTGCTAGAATTACAGTCATGTACCACCATGCCCAGCAGAATTATCCCTTTTTGACCTAACAACTGAGTACCCTATCTCCCATATTGGAGTTTCCAAACATATCCTAATCCTAACCCAAACATTAAAAAGGAGTGAGTTTGCAGACTTTAATCTTTCAAGTAGCAAAGGGGAGCATCATGCTAGCACACCCAGGACGGCTAGTTATGGGGACAGCCCAGGACTTTCTGTCCAGTAGAGTGGGAGGGGCTACAGGGAGCCCTATCCCCTGCACTAATCATCTAAGCACAGAAAGTGAGTGAGCACACTTGGGGAAGGGCTTCTGACACCTTTGCTGTACTCCTTCAAGCCTCTCACTGGGCAGGCCTGCCAGACTAAATGACATGCATGCTTATGCTTCTTGGAATCTATACCTGGGGAGATTAGCCACCCTGAGGGCTAAGGCAGATTCCTACTGATGATTTTCTAATCCTTCCCATCTCCAGAATCTGACTTCTTCATAATCTATTGACCCCAAGGGCAATGGACAGAGTATCTCTAGATAGAGACCCAGTCGCTGAGGTCTCCTTTCTGTCCTTGATGAGCTGGAATATTGTCCCCTACTCTGCCATACCTCAGCCCAGAATCTCAGCTTCTTTGAAGAGTGTCAGATTAAAGGCAGCCTTCCTCATGGCTCTGGCTTTGCTACTCAAAGGTCACTTGAGTTACTGACTTACAGTGATAAGATACAGACAGTAGCTCTATCAGTGTTTAGTAAGCAGTGTATACTTAGGATACTTAAATATCCAAAATAGAACATTCAGAGAAAGGAAGGAGGCACTCACTAGGTCCTGAAAAGCTGGTGTTGATTCCAGAGGTAACCAGACAAGGGCTAGCTTGGCCTCAGAAGGATCCTCTCTAACTGGGCATTGTGCTCTCATTTTCTTATCTCTTGTGTTTGAACTGGAAGGGAGAAAATATATTTCAGTGAACATTCTAGCAAGCTAGAGCTCCTCTCTTGCTGCAAGTTGGTAACTTCAAGAGACAAAACTTAGAGACAGTTTTCCTAATTCAAATGATTTTCCCCTACTTTTGATCGCAGAATTCACCCTGCCAGTTCTTACTCTGGTCACCAAAACCAAGGACAAAGAAAAGTTCTGCCGAGCTTCAATGTGTAAGACAAGTAATGCCCAGCAGAGCTTTTGGGTCTCTTTGTCTTTCTAAGATGGAGCTTTTTCTCACATTTGTGATATGGACATCTCAGTCAGACTAAGTCAGCAATTCTTAGACTTGTTTCAGCTGAGAGGCTCAGAAGCATCATTATTTTAAACTTATGAAATTGACAACAGTACAATCAAATCTCACTTTCTTCAAACCCTTGGAGGGGATCTTTGGATGGCTTAAGTAAAGCTACACCTTTTCAGAAAACAATAAGCATGAAGAACTCAGCCTGATAGCTCACCCTGCTTTGGCAGGCTGAAATTCTCCCAGGCTTGTTCTCACGAATAAATAAAAATCAGGTACAGCATAGTAATTGTTTGGAAACAGTTATCTCCTGGAAAACAGTTTGTTTGCTTAAGTGGTTGGTACATTGCTTCCTCCTAATATCTTGCTTACACCATGATTGGGTAAGGTTCTCCAGACAAAAAAGACAAATAAGATATGTATGTATATATATGCATGTGCGTATATAGAGAGGTGGGGGAGAGGAAGAGGGAAGTTTATTTTAAAGAATTGGTGATTATGGGGGCTAGTAAGTTTGAAATGTGCAGGGACAGGGTAGCAGAGCGCAAACTCAGGGTTTCTGTATCACAGTCTTAAGAATTCCTTCTTCAGGAAAGTTCAGTTTTTGCTCTTAAGCCTTTACCTGATTGGCTGATGCCCACCCACATCATAGAGCGTAATCTGGTCTACTCAAAATCTACTGATTTAGCCAGGTGTAGTGGTACATGCCTGTAGTCCTAACTATGCAGGAGGTGGAGATGAGAGGATTGCTAGTAGAGACCAGCTCAGGCAAAAAAAAAAGTTAGCAAGACTCTACCTCAAAAAGCAAGCAGGTATCTTGGCACCGATCAAGGGTTTCAGTCGAAGGCTGGCACAAAGTTCTAAGTTCAAACTGCAGTATCTCCTCCTCCCACACACAAAAATCTACTGGTTAAGATGTTAATTGTACCTAGGAGCCTTCACAGCAACATCTATACTGCTGTTTGACCAAACAGCTGGGCACCACAGCCTAGCCAAGGTGACACATGAAGTGAACAGTCACAGCAGTTCAGGGCTGTAAGCTACTCTGCTGCTACACTTCATCAGGCTTGCTGTGTAGCTTGTTTTTCTCTATAGTCTAAATTTCGTAGCTGACCTTGAGATTCCTGAAGGGAAATCACTGGGATTTCCCAGAATGATTGGGGCGCTATCCCCTCCCTCGCTAGTTTTAACCTTCTCCTTTATCTTATCAGAGGTGCTGCTGAAGATGCATTCTGTTGGAATCTGTGGCTCAGACGTCCACTACTGGCAGCATGGCCGAATTGGAGATTTTGTTGTGAAAAAACCAATGGTGCTGGGGCATGAAGCTGCAGGAACAGTTGTAAAATTGGGGTCATCGGTAAAGCACCTAAAACCAGGTCAGCAAAGTCTTTCAGGAACTGATACATGTTCAGCATAAATGTTTGTGCTTGCTTTCTCTGGGCCAGGCCCACCATGGAGCACTGGGACACAGCAATACACAAGAAGTCTGAATCTTACCTTCTACAGGGGAGATGGACTTAGACAGACAGGTACCTAGTCACATGCATTCAGGGCAGTGGAGGAGAATGCAGAGAGTTATAGGCTTGTCTTATCTAGACCCAGGATCCTTTGAGAAAGGGACAATTTATCTACTACCTGAAGGCAAGTGAGAAATAATCCAGGTAGAGAAATAAAGTGAGAAATAAAGGGGTAGAGAAAATGTGCCAGGCACAGAAGTCACAACATAACCTCAATAGATTGGCTTAATTTGTTCTCTCAGAGAGAGGAATTCTCAGTGTGGCAGCCTATATTTTTCCCTGACACAATGAATTAAATCTAAGCTGACACAATGAATTAAATCCAAGCTGACAGAGTGAATTAAATCCAAGCTGTCTCCACATAGCTGGCTGTTGGCTTTAACTTTTCTTTGCTAATGTGGCCACTGTAGGGCCTGGAGATGATGTCAGACTATTTGAAAGAAGGTGGGGGTTGGCAGGAGGTGCCGTCTTGTGATAGTCATAAAACTCTCTTCATCTGGCCACATGGAGAGGGCTTGGCAAGCTCAGAAGATGTTAAATATGTGTTTAATTTGGGATTAAGTCTGTACCTCCATTCATCATTAGTGGAAGCTGGGAAAGCTCCCATAGTGTTATAGGGGGATCCCAAAGTCAAAGGTTTGTAGCTTCCAACAACCACTGATGATTGGGTCTTACTTGTGGAACCAGGTCTCTAAATATAACTTACAACATGGAGTGGGGTTCTCTAAATGTAAATTCTAACAAATGCTTAATCAGTATCTATTATGTGTTGGGTCTTGTGCCAGATGCTTTAAGAAAAAATAGCCAGGCATGGTGGCATATGGGAGGTAGTGGCAGGAGGGTTGTGAATTTGAGGCCTGCTGGAGCAAAGTTATCAATACCCTGTCTCAAAAACAAAATAAAAACAGAAACGAGTAGGGGCCTAGTTCAAGTGGTAGAATGCTTGCCTAGAGAGCATGAGGCCCTGGGCTCAATCCCTAGTACTGCCCCAAAAAAGAAAAGATAGGATCCCTGGATGCTTGGATTTATTTAGACATTAGGATCTTGATCAACACTAGCAATTAGAGAATAAGATTCAAGACTCTGTACATGTTCTCAAGTATAGAAAGTGCATTTGTTTTGAGCAGAAGTGGCTAAGGAAGTTGCATGGAAGGAGATAGGTATTGGTGTTGAACGTGTGACAGTAATAATAGGAAGAAGACTTGTATTTATTGACTTGCTACTCATTAGCTTCCACGTTAAAACTTTATAATTATTGGTAATTGTTTATTTCATTCTTGAAACAGCTTTATGAGATAGGCGTTATTATCCTCATTGATAGATGAAGACATTGGAGCCTGGTTTTTGTCCAGGGTCACAAACTGCTTAGTCTCAGCTGGAATGCCCACCCTGTTCTTTCTGGTCTAGAGCAGGTGCTTAGAACCACTGGGCTGCCCAGCATCTTTAGATTTGAGGAAGGTCTTGTGTTTGAGGTAGTAAAGAGGTCAAGCTAACATTCTGTCTGATTAAGGGGGACAGATTACATTCTGGCTGGTTAAGAGAGATGAACTAAGATTATAGAGGCTATGGTAACATATGGGTTGCTTATCCATCTGTACTTCTCAGGGCAGATGTTCTGTTTGGGGAGTTAGTAGAGTTGGTAAAAGTGCAGTCTTTACTAAGCCACTCTTTAAAAAATACTGTACAACTGTACATTGTATTATTATAATGTAATAATGATTAGAAGATAAAACTAAATAGTATAAAACTCCACCTGATTATGAAAGATCTTAAATGTCAAGTTGAAGATGTCATCCTTAATGGTAGAAGGATAATTTGCATAAAGGTCATTAGTAGCAGAGAAGGCAGAGAAGATAGAAGAGAGAGACATACTGGGGAAGAAACACATTTTGGTGGTCATAGACATTTCTGCAGGTACTTTGATTATATAGAATTCAATTTGGGGGACTGGAGGTGTGGCTCAAGCAGTGGAGTACCTGCCTAGCAAGTGTGAGACTGGGTGTGGTGGTGCATGCTTATAACCTTAGCACTTGGGAGGCTGAAGCAAGAGGATCTCAAGTTCCAGGCCAGTCTAAGCTACACAGCAAGTTCCCAGATGAAAAAAAAAAAAGCAACAACAAACAAATAAACAAGAAGATGGGTTGATGGCTGGAGCAGAGGAGAGATGGAGAGGTGGGTAAGGAGATGTAGTGAACATAGCTACATGCTCCTTGAGGAGTCAAGGTGGAGGGTGTCTGGGTGTTCACTGTAAAATTCTTTGAACTTTGACATATGTCTGAAATTTTCATAAAAAAAGGAGGAAAAAAGCAATTAGAGAGCGATTCTTGGGCTGGGTTTCCAAGCAGGGTAGTAAGACATAGATTACAGTTCCTTTCACAATCCTGCAGTGTTACTCTCCACTGTACTCTACAGGTCCTTGTCTTTTGCAGTTCTGCTAACCAAAATCAGTTAACTCCTAGTTCTTTATTTGTTTGTCTACCTTTGATGATACTAGAGTTTGAATGCAGGGCCTCATGCTTGCTAGGCAGGCACTCTACCACTTGAACCACTCCACCAGCCCCCAACTCCTAGTTGTTGTCAGAACATAAAATCAGGTGATAATTACAGCTCTTATGTTTGTAAAGGCCTTGCCTCATATTTTCAAAATAAGTGAAGAAAAAATATCTGCACACCCCATGCACTAGATATTCCTTTTGCAGCAGTTTGAGATGGGAGCCATCCTGGTTTCCCAAGAATAGTAATAGCTGTGGAGGTGCAGGGACAGGTTGGCTTTTTGCAAGGGCAGGCCAAACCAGTCTGTGGAGAAGTAGGCTGGCCCTTTTCTCCCAACTGTGTCTTTGCTGCACCCTTTTGTTCCCTTTCAGAAGCTCTAATGGGCTGGACTTGCTTAAGGAACCGTGGGTCCTTAGGGAGAAGCGTGGTTCATTAGGCTTGCTTCTCCCATCTGGCACCATGCCTTCACAACATCTCTGCCTCTGCTCTTGTTTTCAAAGGTTGGAAAATTGATCCAGGCCCAGGCTCAGCTTCTGTTGTTGGACACAGCATCGTCTTTTTTTTTCCTCCACAGGTGATCGTGTTGCCATTGAGCCTGGTTATCCCCGAGAAACAGATGAATTCTGCAAGATTGGCCGATACAATCTGACACCATCTATTTTCTTCTGTGCCACACCCCCGGATGATGGGAATCTTTGCCGGTTCTATAAGCACAATGCTGACTTCTGCTACAAGTTAGTGCCCGTGGCCTACCTGTACTTGCTGGGACTTCTTTCCCTCTGGTTTATTTATTTATTGTGTGTGTGTGTGAGAGAGATCTAATTCCCTATGGTGAGTTCTTTATTATCTTTATCCTATAATTCTAAACATGAGGCATTCCCCTGGTAGGGATGGTATTGAGAAAGGGTAGCCTCACTGGAGCTAAGATTGATTAAAAAATGGGTGATTTTAATCTTTCAGTTTAACTTCCCATCACCTGGAACAACAATAGAAAATTGTTGTTTCAGCCATACTGGAGAGAACTTATGGTTCATTCTCCATTTTGGTTTCCACTGCAAAGGAAAAGCCAATTACAGTAAGTAAGGGAAAAGGAAACTATAACGATAACCTTGACAACAATAAACAATAAGAGCAACAACTGGTATTTGCTGAGGAGGCATAGCGTGGTGCTGGGCCATGAGTCTTAGCATGCGGGGTCCACTTTCTTTGTGAGTGACTTTAGGGGGGATTTAGCTTCCTCTGTTTTGTTTAATCACCTAGAAGATTAAATTAGATGTAAAAATCATGCTTATTATTCTTACTCTATACCTGCCCTTGTATATAATAACTGCTTTGTGTGCCTCGTAATGGTGAGCTGGGCACCATTATTGTAGCTTTGTGAAAGGGTTAATGGAAGCTAATGAACTCCAGCACAGAGTAGAGCCTTCAATCCTATCCCAAGTCTTTGCTGAAGCAGTCTTGGGTTGAGAGGCTGTGTCCGAGAGAAGCAAAGGGCTGCATATTGCACGTGCGGCCCCCTCCATGGAGCGCTGGGGTGTTGGAGTGTGGCTTCCTCTCTGAACCAACCCAAGCGTGGTTTCCTTCCAGCCTAGCCTAACCCTAGTGGTGGTCTCAGCTGGTATGGGGCTTGTCTGGTGGAGGCTAGGAGCCAGTTTACGAGCCTTGAGAGGAGTCATAGGCCAGAGACTTTGTGGTGAGTTTAAGTCAACACCTGAGTCTGCTCTAGAAGAAAGCAGGTTGTGTGGGCTGAGGCCACCTTTTAGCAAGTGCTTCCTGGATCAGCCCATCTTTTTCTGGTCCCTTTCCAAGTCAAGGCGCAAGCAACATTTTCATGGAAGGCAGAACATAGTGGTAAAGCTCAGGACTACCCACTCATCTGTGGTTTACTCACTAACTCCTTGACCAAGTTCCTTGTTTATAGCCTCAATATCCTGGCCTGTGAAGTCATAGCACCTCTTTCACAGAAGAATTGATGAGAATCAATGAGACAGTGTACCAAGTACTCAGTATGAATCTGAGTACATAGACCAGGCACATAGAGACCAGGTGTTCAATAAATGGTACTAAGAGATGTCTTAGCCATGGTCTTGTAGTCTGGAGGATGGAAGTCCAGAATTAGGTTTGAGAGGGAATCTCGTACTGGGAATGGGAGTGGGGTGGTTTGTATACAGTGGTATGTGGGGTAGTGCACTGTTGGCAATGACTAAGGGAGAGCTACAGAGAGTCTCTGTAATTCTCGGCTTTCCTCTCCTCCAGGAATACTTTCTGCCTCTGTCCCCAGTTATAGCCCTGGGCCCTAGCCTTCCTCTCTGATTTCTGTTTGAGAGGATTTATTCCTACCCTACCACTGCCTTTTTATTTCCCTAACCTCTTGTCTTCTATCTTCCTGCTTCCCCCTGGCTTGTTGGTCATCCTTTACCCACTTTGTCTGTTTCCTGAACTCTGTTGTAAAAACCACCAAGTTGATTTGTTGAACTCTGGTGTTCATAAAGTTTGAAAGGTCAGGGCTGGAAACATGAGTCCTCTCATGTCCATTCTCTGTCAGCCCCCACTGGACAGGGTTAGGGAGGGAAGGCCTTGTGATCTTCCCCTGGTCAGTGGCTGAGGGACCAGCTCCAGGAGCCTCGTCCAGTCCATGCTTCTGTCTCTAAGGCAGGAGGCTTGCTCACACAGTTGGCTGTGTTTGATCAGTTGTGAGGAGGCAACACCTGCCTGATGGCTGGAATACTCAACCAGGTAACAGTCCTCCCTCACCTCTTCCCATCCCAATCCTATTTCTCTTTGGTGTTCTGATTCCAAGGAGTTAGAGGAGGGTGAAGAGGCACTCAGCTTAGAGCCATTAGAGCCCTGTGGGAGGCTGGATGTGAAGGGCAGGCTGCTGTGTCTAGAGCCTGTAGTGGAGGTTCTTGAGAGAGTTTGGGTATCTTCATTATTTCATTTTAAGCCTTTTCTCCTTATATGGAATTGATGCCTATAGGGTGAGTCTGGTGTGGGTTGGAGTGGAGAAGATGACGTGAGAGAAGCTGAGGGAAGGGGAGGCTGTTGACCACAGGCTTGCAATTTACTTTGTTGAGGATTGGGAACAGTGACAGGATGACCAGGAGGATGAGCACAAGATTTGGCTGCCATGTTTCTTTCTTTGTGGAAAGTTTTTGTGTTCCTGCATGCGCAGGTTTGGAGGATACTAGGTAAATACTGGATAACAAGGATCTAGCAGAATTTAGATATTAGCCACAGAGCTGCTTGTACCAAGAGGCAGCTGATATGGGTCAGGCAGAGGATATGGAATCAGGACATATTGATTCAAGTCTTGCCTGGAACCAGCCTTGTAACCTTAGGCCAGCTTCAATTTCCTATTCTGTAGAATAAAGGCAAAAGTGAAGCCTGTCCTGCCTGCCTGACAGGGTTATCCTGAGGATTAGATGAGATAATGGGTGAGAAAGCTGCCTAACCTGTAAAACCTTTACTGTCATCATCTGTGGGATTGTGGACGGGGTTGAGATGCCAGTGGACTCAGAAGTGAAAACCAAGAACCCAGTGGTGAAAGTGACACAGCATTTATTGGCTTTGTAGAACAAATCCTGTTCCCTTCTTAACCAGTTCTGGGGCAGCCAGGCGACTGCTGTCCCCAGATGTGGTTTTTCTGGAACATATAATCTAGGGACAAATAACAGAGTGGTGCCTGCTGTTAAACCTCTGTTCTGCAAAGATGCTGATAATCAGGATTGTTTGCTAAAGTGAAATCAGAAATGCTGTCAGTTTGAGAAGCTGATGAGATGCTGGAATGTGGTTATGTTAACCCCTTGTTAAATGAACTATTTTTTTATTTATTGGCAGTTCTGGGGTTTGAACCCTGGGTCTCCTGCTTGCTAGGCAGGCACTCTACCACTTGAGCCACTCCACCAGCCCTTTTATGTGATGAGTTTTTTTCAAGATAGGGTCTTGTGAACTATTTGGCTGGACGGGCTTTGAACCACGATCCTCCTGATCTCTGCCTCCTGAGTTGCTAGGATTACAGGCATGCACCATGGTGCCTGGCCAAACTTTATTAATGACAACCACACTCTACCTTCACTTGGATAGTACGTTAAAGAAAATATAACATGGATTAGGGATGTAGCTTAGTGGTAGAGTTGTCTTACCTAGCATGCACAAAACCACAGAAACAAAATGCTCCAGAAAACATATGGGAAACAAACAACAGACTGATTTCCCCTGTTAAATCACTGTTCTGCAAAGTTGATGATAGTCAAGAAAATATAATGTGTTCACTGAACTCTGAAGTGATTTCTCCATTTCATAAGTGCCAGTGTGGCCTGGGTCCTGGAATCAGTCACATCTGGCTTCTAATTTGAACCCTGTGAGCCCCTCATTAGCTTTGAACCTTTGGGGCAAGCCATTTAACCCTCAAAGCCTCAGTTTCCTCATCTGTAAAATGGGAATAATAGTACCTACCACAGAGCTGTTCCAAGATTGGCATGAGCAAATGTGTGTAAAGTGCTTGGCACATTGTGCTACAGTAAATAAATGCTGAGTAAATGTTAGCTATTATTGTTGTTATAGTAACCTTGGGTATGTACATATCATACTATTGTTAGCGTAGTTAAGCCGAGGATCTAATTGTGCATGTTGGATGACTCCTTAGGCTTCCTGATGGTGTCACCTTTGAGGAAGGGGCCTTGATTGAGCCACTCTCTGTTGGAATCTATGCCTGCCGGCGAGGAGGAATCTCTTTAGGGAACAAGGTCCTTGTTTGTGGAGCTGGTAAGAAACAGAAGGCACCCTGGTTATGGGCTTACTGACTGGGAATGTGGAAACCCCTTGCCCATCTCGTTCCTCCTCCAAGGGCTGGGATTGGTTCCAGAAACTTTCTGGGTAGGGGAGGATTACACTGTCTCATTCCCTCAATGACCAGCACTTTACTAAATAAAATGAAGTGTCTACAGACATGATAGTAACTATGTTAGATTTCTTAGGCAACACAACCCTTTTATTCACTTTGAGAATGAATCTTGTGATTATTTTTGAACCATTCACAGAAACTAGGGGAATATTTTTTGGTAGTAAGGGGAAGGGTAACTTTTGGAACTTTCAAATCACACCAGAAAACTCACATGAATAAAGAAGAACCTGTTCTCAGCCAGGGTGGGATATGGAGTCCAGATCACCACGTACCAGCACGTACCAGGTAGCTGCCTTGTCTTATTGCCTGCCTCCAGCCACTGGGAACATGCCCTAGTGGCCTCAGTCCCAACCATTCTAGGCTTTTAGTTACTGGTGGTCTGATGGGGACATCAGCCTGAGAGAGCCACTATTAATATTTTGGTTTAAAATAATTTAATTTTTATTTTTGTTCTAGTTTTTGTTTTCTGAGACTGTGGTTCATTATGTAGCCCAACTTTCAATCCTCATGCCTCAGCTTCCCGAGTGCTGGTATCATACGTGTGGGTCACCACACCTACTCTGTTTTTAACAAATCAATATTCTGTGAACATTTTCCCATGTCAATAGATACAGAGTTAGGGATAATTTTTAATAGTTGTATAGTACTCCCACTGTAGTGTATTTGACTAATCACCCTTTGTTGGAGTGATTAGTTATTATTTTCCAGTGTTTTGCTTCCTGGGGGAGATGTACGAAGTTGTTTTCAAGGAGTGTTTATAAAAAGTAAACTCAAATGATACTCTTCATTGCTCCATTGTTTGGGTCTGACTTTTCTATGGAAACCAGTGTCTTCCAACATACAGATACTTGAGGAAACAGGTGATCCTGGGTTAGTTCTAGCTCTGAGGTATGAGAGGATAAAAGAGAACCTAGAATGAGGTGCATGTTTCATGTAGAAAACAAGTCTTCATCCATTCATTCATGCCTGTATCCATGAAAAGTTGTCAAGTGCTGGAATAAATGCTAGTGACACAGAAGATACAGTCTCTGTGTGTAGTTTAGATAAGAGGAAGAACTGATATTTAATAATACACAAATATCTCTCATTTTCTGTTTTGTTTAGGGCCAATTGGGCTGGTCAGTTTGCTTGTGGCCAAGGCAATGGGAGCAGCTCAAGTAGTGGTGACTGGTAAGAAGGTTTTCTTCTTTTAAAATCTTGGTGGGGGTGGGTGGAACAGCTGGGCTTACAATTTAGGGCAGAAGCATGATACCCATTCTCTTCCAGTAAATAGTCTGTTTACTGTTGTTGTAACAAAATACCTGAGGCTGGTCATTATTAAAGAAAAGAGGTTTATTTACCTCACTGTTTCAGAAGCTAAAAGTCCAGGATTGGGTAGCCCCATTGGTTTGGCCATTAGTGAGGGCCCCCATAGCAAATGGCAGGAGCAAGTGCAGAAGAGATTACATGTCAAAAAAGGAAGCCAGAGAAATTCATATTCACCACTCTCAGGAACACTAACTCACTCTTCAAGACCAGCATTAATCCCTTCCATGAGCAGCATTCCCAATGACTACCACACTAGAAACCACACCTCCAACACATGAGCCTGTAGGGGACAAACCACAGTTCTTCCTAAGGTACTGGGTTCTTAAAGGGGCTCCACTCCTTTCTCTTGGGTTCTAGGGCTGAGGAGCCCACCCAGGGATGACAATTCAGGGCTCAAGATGAAACTCTTTTGTGAAGGGAGGGGTGTTAGCCCTGGGGAAGAGGATGTGACTCTTTATGTGTGGACTTCATACTCCTTAGTCCTGAGAGGAGGCTCAGCCCTTAGTCTGTTTGTCTAAGCATAGGAGGCAAATAGGGTGTATTTGTGAGTGTGTGTGGAGTTGGTGGAGTGTCTCATATATTATAAATGTGTGTGGGGGGGATGTATATAAGAAGTTTGGAAGTGTGCAATGATGTAGAGCTGTGTGGAGTGTATGGGGCTCTGTGGAGATGTAGAAGGGTGTCAGTATGTGTTTTGTGTGAGGAAAGGGTCTATGGACATGTGTATGTGTAGCCATGTGGAGTGAGGCAGTGTGTAAGGGTGCAGAGAGGGTGTGCTGGGCTCAGCAGCAGCCCCCTACCACACTGGAACTTTGTTGCCATCAGATCTTGCACCTCCATTTTATTTTCTTCCTAATCAGTCATCTGGTTTCTCAGTTTGAAAGAAACTTTTGCTCACTTTTAGATCTATCTGCACCTCGGTTGTCCAAAGCCAAGGAAGTCGGAGCTGATTTCATTCTCCAGATCGCTAAGGAGAGCCCTAAGGAAGTTGCCAGTAAAGTGGAGGAGCTGTTGGGGTGCAAGCCAGATGTCACCATCGAGTGCACAGGGGTGGAGTCCTCGGTCCAAACAGGCATCTATGTGAGTGGGCTGCAAGCAGCTTCTGGGAATCATTGTAGGAAAGTGAAGGGAGCAGAAGTCAGGAACCTGACATCAAACTTTTCCTCCAACTTGCTGAATTAGTTAATCTCTTGGCATTTTGTTTTCTTCTGTCTGCAGTGGGGATTGTTAACACTTACTTTACATCCTCATTGAGTCAGGATGAGGTCCAAACACAAAAACAGATAACATGGACCTTGAAAAATGTTGAGTGACTCACAACTTTAGGATGGAGTTGCCTTCAAGATAATTCTTCTGTGATTGTAAGAACAGGACTCTTGGTGAAACTGTTGGCAGGAGGAACAGGGAACCATGCCTTAGATGAGTGGGAAATCCCTATATTGTTTTATTGAGAATAACTCATCTTTGAGTCATTGATACAAAGCAACAGCCATTAATTCAGTTAGTCACAAAGGTGAAGTGATTTTTCAGGGCCAAAGCTGGCTATTGTTGTGCTGTTTCCCAGAAATAGGAACAGATAAGCTCCCCATGCCTGATTTGCCCCTCAAGGTCCCACCCCATTAGCAATTTATGGGAAATGGGCAAGTTGTTGAGGAGCAGGGAGGGAGTAGCATTAACAGATCAAAGTACGAGGAAAAGAGAGGGAAAAGCATAGCTTCTAGGAATTCCAGGCCCTCTGCTGGGTACTTTGTAGACTTGATACCTAATCTGCACAATAGCCCAGAAGATCAGTTAACATTTTATGTTGAGAGTTATGTTGGTGACTTAGCTTCAAACTTACAACTATAAGTGAGCTGTACGTGACCTGAGTCCAGGTCAAGCCCCACTCTGCCTAGCCTCCATGCCTGAGCTTTCCCCACTCTGTGCTGCTTTGAAAAGGAAGAGAAGGAGTAGAGGAGGAACTGTGTGCTAGGATGGGAAGGGCTGGGCTGGGAAGGGCAGCTGACAAAGGACTCCAGACCCTGACCCCCCTCTCCAGACTGCTTCCCCACAGCAGCTTGGGCCTCTACCTTCCGTCTGAGTCACAGCTGGTTCACGTGCAGGGCACTTTGCAGCACGTGAGGTATTCTGAGAAGGCTCCAGCTGTGGCACACCCTCGGGCTGGAACTGTGATAGAGACTCAGACTGGTAGAGACTCACCTTCAGACTTTGGCACTCCTATCAAAATGCCCATTGGCACTGGAGACAGAGGAAGTGGTAGGAAGGGAGGAGCAGATGCAAAGAGAAACCAAAATTCATAGGAATGGTGAGTCTGTGTGTGATAGGTCTACCTGTAACATGTCTTGGGTACCTGCTGGGTGCCAGGCTCTATGTTAGGTACTTTGAGGGCTATGATAGCAGGGAAGGTGTACCTACTGTCTTCATTAGAGCACTGGCAGACCAGTGCTCCACAAAGAGGCAGTAGAACCTGCGTGACTTAAAGGACCTGGCTTTCCTTCCTCTTCTGCCCTGCCATAGTACATTTGGGAACAGATGTCATTTCCAGTTGTTGAGGATTGAAACCCAGTTGGCAGGCTACCTGAAGGTGAACATGACCCAAGGACCTCACCAGGCCTGAAGTAGTATCTCTCTTGATGTATCAAGTGGAGTTACCATGCCATAGCATGCTCGGCCCCTTGCCTAAGTCAAGCAATGGCACCAAAGATGGGTATATTTGACTGTCACCTTCCTACCCAGTGGTGTCTGGATGGTGTTTGTGAGGAGACATGGTATACACCTTGAGGTAGAATTGGTGTCACTTCCTTGGTAAATCAATTATAGTCACAGTGGTCAGGTAGTAGGAGAATTTTTTTGGCCTGCGATCAGCAAATTGCCAGCCACCTGGCAGCTTGGAATCGCCATTTGGTGCTATCCTCCTTATCACCAGGGAGAGCAACTGCTGATGGGGAAATAACTTTTCCTGGAAATTTTCTCAATCAAGAGTTTTCTGTGGCTCATCTCACCACTTTGACCCCTCACTCCCATTTTTTCCAATGTGGACAGCAGCATTTTACCATTGCATATAGGCTCTCGATGGTTTGTGAGTGACTCTGCACTTCAATAAAAATATAAAGCAGCTGGGTGCCAGAGGCTCACGCCTGTAAGCCTAGCTACTCAGGAGGCAGAGATCAGGAGGATGGTGATTCAAAGCCAGCCCCAGGGAATTGTTTGTGAGACCCTATCTCAAAAAAAAAAAAATTGGGAAAAAAGGTGCTGGTGGGGTGGCTCAAGTGATAGAACACCTGCCTAGCAAGTGTGAGGCCCTGAGTTCAAGCCCCAGTGCCACCAAATAAATAAAAAAACAAAGCAGCTAAACATTGAGCACAGCTGCCATGATTGTTACATACCAGACACTGGCCAAGAGGGCAAACCTAGGGTCCTGCAACTCAGAAGCCACAACACTGGGAGTCACCACTGTGGTGCTCTAGTCCTGAGTCTGCCTCTTGCTTCTGTCACTTTGGGCTTCTTTCCATGGCATATCCCTCAGAGAGAGGCGCTGCACTGTGGGCCTTTTTGTAACTCCACTGTTTAAAGCTTAGAATGGTCCTGGAAAGTGCTTGCTGCCACTTCTATCTACAATGAAAACTTAACATGAATGCGTTGTCCATTTTCCTATGTCTCACAGCATCGAGTAGTGATCCCCCAGGAAGCTCTTGAGCCAGCACAATACTTACATGGAGTTACATGGAAATTGTCAGGAGAAATTCTGCCACCTCTGACCCATTCCAAGATGTGGGCGGATCACTAGAGTCTGTAACTCCAGGCTCTTAGCAGAGCATCAGTCTTCCAGATAAATACTCAAGGAAGACGAAATCTATTATGGCTGATACCAATGGGATGAACACCTCTAGAACAAAATGTTGGCCTGCATGTATGAAGCCATTTTTAAACCACAGAATTCCAGTAGCCCATCTGTATGGTAGTTGTGGTTTTCTTGCTGCTGGTGAGCTCAGAGGATGGCTCCCTAGGGGTCTGGTGAAAGTCCTGCCTTGTGGAGGGGCACTCTGGAGGGAGAAATCCGTGCTGAGACAGGGAAGTGACCGACACTAATATCTAGTACTGAACTCTTAAAGCTTCGGAAGGTATTCCCACTGTGCCTGGTTCTCCATCTGTTGCTCAGTTGAATTTGACATATTGAAGGTTTCAGCAAGAGAATTATATTCTCTGAAACTTTTGGATACTCGCCTGATGCAATCAGAAGACATTTGGGTGGGAAGTCCATGTTTTCTTATTTTCTGAGTTTTCCCATTTTTACTTTTTCTTTAGGCTACTGCTTCTGGTGGAACACTGGTGATCGTGGGGATGGGCTCTGAGATGATCAGTATACCCCTAGTGCATGCAGCCGCCCGGGAGGTGGATATCAAGGGCGTGTTTCGATACTGCAACACGTGAGTATGCTGTGTGTGAGCTGGGGTGGCCAGCTGCCAGCAAGACCAGGGCAGGCCCCACATGGCCTCAGAGACCAAGAGTCTCTGCCTGTTTATTCATGAGAGGCACTCCCTGACCACACTGACAGTCACACGATATGATAGGGCTCCAAGGAGAGAACATGTACTTCTTGCACAGAGGGAGGGAGAGACAGGGGGGAAATTTTGAGGCATGCTGTTACTGGGTGTCTGCCACTCATTACCCAGGCCCCCTCTTTTCCATTTCTTTTAAGTGGCCACATCTCCATTTCCTCTTTTTAGAGGGAAGAAGAGAAAGGAGGACAAAAACAAGAAATGAACTCCCTTGCCTCCCATTCCTGAGCCCCAGGACCCATTGTGGGGAAGAGAGGGTTTTATTTTACCCCACCTGCCTTCTACAGCTCTGCTTTGTCCCCTACTAGGGCTCTCTGTCTGGAACTTCCTTCCCCAACTATTTCCCTTACTCCTGCTTAAGGGTCTATAACTCCATGTCCTCAGCAAAGGACCTGTTTTCTAGTAAACTCTGCCCAGCTGAGCTGCTAATAGGTGTGACTGGATTATCCTAGGCTGCCTCCTTGAGGTTAACTGTCCTTTTCACAATGGCTTCCATAGACTACCTTATACCTTTATGCCAAAGGAATTCCAGGCTTCTTGCACATGTTGCAAAATGAGACATTTGAAAGCAGTCTCTATGCCTGCAGACTGTAAGCCATAATGTAATTTCCTCTGTCAGTGTTTTATAAATTTGGTCTTGCAGAAGCACAGTGTTGGAAATAAATATGGTCAGGCTGTTATGGTGCTTGGTATTTTGGGGGACCTGGTTCTTTCTTCCTGAAGGTTGAATGTAATGCTTATGATCTTTTACAGGTGGCCGATGGCGATTTCAATGCTTGCATCCAAGACTATGAATGTAAAACCCTTAGTCACCCACAGGTTTCCTCTGGAGAAAGCTGTGGAGGCCTTTGAAACATCCAAAAAGGGAGTGGGGTTGAAAGTCATGATCAAGTGTGACCCCAATGACCAGAATCCCTGATGTGAATTGGGCTATGCCCTCATCCCACCCTCAGCATCTCAGGGCTTAATGACTGGGCCAGGGTGGGCCTTGATGCCAAACTTTCTTTTGAATGATAAGATTAATTAATGGAATTTATTATAAGCAGAGAGCCTTGTAGAGGAGTTGGTGTACCTTAAAAATGCAAGTACGGGTTGTTTGGGGGAACTGGTACATAGAATGACCTGCTTGTGCTGAGCAAAGTCCAGCAGGTAGAGCAGAATTTGTCAGGCATGCACTGGGAGCTCCCCTTTTCCCTTCTTCTTTGGGTGGGGAGACAAATCTTGCCGTTGGTTTCCTGGTTCCTCTGTGACTGGCCAGGGAATGGGGCTGAATTATGAAGAGACAATTTCATGAAGACTTAACTGGCTCTGGGGCTGATTTTCAGGGTCTGGGATGAGGGGATGCCAGTTGTAGTTCAAAGCAGTGTTTCTAGAGTGAAGTGATAATTGGTTTGATGATAAAAAGAGAATGAGAAAAGGGATTTAACTTCCTGGGTCCAGAAACCAGGAATGAAACCAATCAAATGAATAAAACCAAGACCGCATATGAGGTCACACCATCTTGCATTCCCCAAAATGTGGAAAGAGTGAGGGCACATCTTAAGCCTGCTTGAAGATCACCCCTTCTTCAACTCCTGAGAATTCTGTCATTCCATTTACAAGGCAGATAGCCACCTTCCCAACACTCCCCAGCCCACCTGAAGCAAGGTCCTTGTTGCTAGGCAACCAGGAGATACCCATCTGAGGACAGATGCTGTCTAGCTCATTGGTCAGCCACCTGCGGGCTTGACATCCCCACCCCAAAGGATTAACATCTGCTCCTAGGCTCCCTCACTGATGATTGTTAGACAGTTACGTGCAATTCTGGTCATTGTAGACAGAAATCCCTGCTCACAACCAGTGAAGGCTCTTAGTACCTTCCTGTCTGTTGGAAGGATGTTTCTGACCTGTTTTATTTTAATCATGAGGTTTTTCTATTTAATATTTGAACCTTGATCATACCCTTTGTGACTTTGAGATGATGAATCAAGAGCAAGGATGTAGTAGCTGTGACATAACTTGGGCTGCAGCCTTTGCTCCTCACTTCAGCTGTGGGTAGAGGGTGAGTTTGATGAGACTCTGGCTGCTTAGACTTCTTATAATGGGGAAGGCCATGGCCAGTACCTGAAATTCCTCGAACTGCTTGGGACAATAAATTCTCTTGCTGGTATCTGACTCCTGCTGCCGTTTATGCCTATTTTTGGAGGAGTGGTATTAGGTTACCTGTTTCACAGAAGAAAGAATCTCAGGACTTTTGTGGGGAATGTATTTTCTTTTTTTTTAAAATGTAATTATTTTTTGTGGTACTGGGGTTTGAACTCAGGGCCTCATGCTTGCTAGGCAGGCACTCTACCACTTAAGCCACTCTGCCAGCCCTTTTGGGGACACATTTTCTGCACTAAATATAATTTCATTAACTGCTAGAAATTTACACAAATCATCTGTAATCCACACAGCGAGGCAAATACATAAGGGTTATCTTGCAGATAAGAAAACAGGGAAATATGTTGGATGCCGGTGGCTTACACCTGTAATCTTTGGTATTGGGAGGCTGAGTTCAGGAGGATCTTGGTTCAAGACCAGCCTGGGTAAATAGTTCATGAGACCCCCCCATCTCCAAAATAACCAGAGCAAAACAGATTAGAGGTGTGGCACAAGTGGTAGAATGCCTTCTTTGCAATTGCAAAGCCCTGAGTTCAAACCCCAGTTCTGGAAAAAAAAAGAAAAAATAATTTGGTCACAGCTGCATACCACTTTTCTTCTCTCGTTCAGGACAGTGACCACACACACATTCAGAAACTGTGCAGCCCAGCCCACTTGTGCTTCTTTCTTAGTCCAATTAGGGCTGGACTTAACAGCTTCTCTCAAACTCCTTCCAGCTTGATGCATGAAGTTCTTTTAGCATGGAGTAAGAAGAGTTTTTTCCCATTCTAGATGGAAGACTTCCAGTAGAAATGCCCCTAAGGAAAAGATTTCACTGTGTTAAATTCACAAGTAGCCTCCGTTCTAAGTGTAGTGGGATGGAGGGGAGGCCATTGAACCTAAAAAGGATTTGGGAACTGCAGAGGGGATAGTGAGAAAGGTAAGGCCATGAAAGACAAAGGTGTCACTTTTTTTTCACAATTGTGCTTGAACTTGATCTTTGAAGTCAGTGTCTTAGTGCCTTCATTTTCTGATCTCTCTGAAATGGGGTTCATGATGCCTGTAGAATTCAAATAGGCTGATCAAAAAAAAAAATAGTTCAGAGCTGGGCTTGGTGGTGCATTCATTAGACTGAGGCAGGAACATCATGAGTTCAATGCCAGCCTGGGCTACATGGCAAGAACCTGTCTCAAAAACAACCAAATAAAAAAAAACAAAAATAGGATTCTTTCTATTTCCAAGTCCCCCTGCCACTCCCAAGCTATGGCTTCCTGTGCACCTCACTGGGACAGAGTAGCGGGAGCATGGGGGATGGGTGGGCTGAGACAACCTGGCTGCTTAGAGAGTCACTAGTGTGCTGAGAACATTACTGAGCTAATTCAGGATTCCCTCTGCATCCTTAATCCTCCTACTGCTTGGAAAGGACTACTGGAAGTCCAGGAACTCATTCCTTACCACCTCCATGAGTGCTCAGTCAATGTTGATTGATTCAGTGAATCAGTCCCGGAACCAAGAATATGAATTCCCCGCAAGCTCCCCAACCTTGGGAGGCCTGGCGGCCTCTGTATGCCCTGTTACTAGTGCCTAGCACATGTTTACTTTCAGTCAACACTGAGGACCCCACCCGGCCGGCACTCCCAGCACTTGGGTGGTGTGGGGTGTAAGTGTGGAGGCTGGGAAGAAGGACCCTACATGCAAGCTTGAGGGTTAAAGGGGGTTGCTGCCTCATGGACCCCCAAGAAGAAAGGGGTTCATTGGCCCCAGAAACTCCCTTTGGTCATCACCTTTGGTCATAGCAAATACTGGTGTGAATTCACTTCTGGACTCACTCCCTGGGTCTCTGGCTATTGCATTCAAATCTCCTTTGATCCTACCTCTCTTTTCCTGGCTCCTATTTTGCATAAAGAAGGCATGTTGGGGCATTGGTGGAGCCAGAGGTCAGGAGCAGGGGTGATAGACGGCATATATTGGATATTTGCCTTTCTTGAGAACTGTCCCTGGCTCATGATGTCAGTCTAGGTTTAAGGTAGAGGGAAAATGACAGGGAAGCAATGCATGTTTAGCCCCCTGGGCACCAGGCCAGGACTGAGGCTGGGCCTGCCTACAGATGACCAGGCCTGATCAGGACCATATCCCTGGGTGACAGGCAGGTTGCCAGCATCCCCATCCCTCTCCACACCCCAAATTCTTCAGGGACTCAGGAAGAAGCAGGATGGAGAAAGGACAGCAGTTCAGGGGCTTGGGAGGAGCTCATGTCTGGTGGGAAGTGCCTTCCAGACATCAGTAGATGTTCTCTGGCATGGCTGCTGCCATATTGACACTGTCCAGCACCACTCCCACAGCCTCTACCCCTCACTCCCAGCCTCCCTCTCAAAGCCTTGGCTGAGCTCATTCCCTGGGCACCTGAAAATGGCACAGTTTTGTGGATTATGTCAGTGCATCTCCCAACCCATAGGAGCTGCTTGGTGGGAGCAGCGTTTGTCCTCTGGGTCTCGGATCCATCTGAACTGTGAGAGGCAGCATATTTTAAAGGATTTGATGCAAGAATTCCTGGGTTTGATCTAATCCTGGGCCAGCCATTTAACTCACTGTGAATTTACCAAGTCACTCAGCTTCTGTTTTCTCCTGTGTTAACTGAATGGTTGTGCTACCCAATCTTAAGGTCTCCTCAGGCACTGATATTTTATGGTGTCTCCATTACCCAGAGAGCCTGGGGAGTAAGGATGCCTTTGGAGGTATTTATTCCTCAAGATTGAAGAGCCTTCTCCTGTTTCATTTCAAGTCCTGTGTGTGAGTGAAGTGATGGCCTCAGTGAGGGAGGCTGGCTCCTGGTGGTTGTGGGGGAGGGGTCAGCCTGTAGAAGCAGCTGCGTCCTGGGTATCACCTTGTTCTATTTCTTGGTCTCAGTCTCCCAGGTGTGCTCTTAAGGCCTGCACAGCCCAGAGATGGGCTCAGGTGGGTTGGGCTCATCACCAACTTTGCTGCTGTGGTCACTGACTGATCTTTCTATGCCCCATGGAAGACTGGAGGCCGAGGCTCAGCCTAGCAGGGGAATAGGGTCCACCAGTCCATTCATTGTGAGGAGGGAGCTGTGGGAAGAAGAAGGTGGGCTTTCAGGTATAGTGAGTCTGTTCTGGGTCCAGGTCCACTGAGGCATGGTGGGGGTGCAGTACCCTTGGGCCAGCCCAGGCAAATAGTGCTGAAGCCCCATGGGCTCTACCTTAACCTCACACACTCTTATGCACTGGACCACAGGCTACCAGCCCACTTTGACCTTCCAGTGCCCGGGGCCTCTCCCATAAGCCTCTTCTTGAGAATCCCAAGAGGCACTTCAAGTCAGCTGTTTGCTGTGCTTGCATCACCCAGAGATAGCATAATCCATCATAACGGAAGTTTGTATATTGTAAGAGCAAAAACAAAGGCAGAAAAGTAAAAAAGAGAGTCAGCATAATCCACTCTCCGAGGATGTTAAGATGTTGAGGTGCCAGGTATGTTGGTACATTCCTGTAATCCCAGCACTCAGGAGGGGGAAGGCAGTAGGATTGAGCGTTCAAGGCTACCCTGGGCTATGTAGCAAGACTGTCTCGAAAAAACAAAAACGAAAATAACACAAAAGGCTATTGGAGTACTTTCTTCCAGCCCTTCCTCAGGCATCACCATATGTACAAAGCATGTTCATTTCCTCATAAACATAATGGAAACGTGCCTTACCTCCTCTTTTCATTTTCACCCATAACAAAACTTCAAAAAACAATCACAATTATTAGACAATTCCCATTATTGTACCTAACAAAATTAATTCCCTCATGTCATCTAATACCCAGTCTATCTTCCCTAATTATCTTTTTAAAAAAGAAAAAGTTTACTTTTTCATACATGGTTTGCTGGACTCAGGTCTGAATAACCTCCTTGCATGTGGTTACTGTTTCTCCTATAATAGATGATTGCTCCCCTCCATTTTGGTTTAAATGCCATTACTATCTTAAGGAAACGGGTTCCTTTGTCCTCTAGATACTGTTTTGCAAACCTGCCTGTTTTCATTTAATAAATAAGTTTCTTCCTATGCCAACAATCATTATTTTAAATTGCATCATCATCATTTTAAATCATCATATCTCATATATGGGTATACTATCCTTTAGGAAACAAATCACAGTATTTTGAGAATTTTGATAGTTCATAGGGTTTTGCCCTTAGGATAAAGTTGTGATGATGACTCTGATGCATACATTTTTGTGCTCCTGAATTATTTCCTAAAGTCTTATTTATTTATTTATTTATTTATCTGTTTGTTTTTGAGACAGGGTCTTATTAACTTGCCCTGGGCTCGACTTTAAACTTGCCATCCTCCTGCCTTTGCCTCCCTAGGAGCTAAAATTATAGGAGTGTGCTAAAGCTATGTTTAGAATGAAAGTAACTGAGTTTAAGGATACTTTTTTTTTTTTTTTTTTAGTGCTAGGGAGAGAACTGAAGGCCTCACACATTCTGGGCCAGTGCTCTACCACTAAGTCACATCCCCAGCTTTGAGTGTATACATTTAAAATTTACATGAATATATACTTATTTTTAATTTTTTTATCTTTGATTTTCAATCCTCTCTCTGTCACTCTATTGTCTGTTCAGTTTACTGTCGATTAGTACACTAACACTCCCTGTTTATACCTTTGAAACTCTCTTGTCTGATACCTTGTTCTGCTTTCTCCCTCTTGTCTGTATATTTGTTTTCCCCTTTTCTTTAACTTCTTGCTTTCCATCTCAGCTCACTCTTCCATTCTCAATATTACCATTGTTATTATTACAAGCTAGAAAATACTTAATTACACACAGTACAGGGACAGTAACAACACCAAGGACAATGACAGGAAGACAGAAAAAACAAGGAAACCAGTTTCCCCACAGCAAAAAATTAGTACAGGAACCAGAGGGGAATGAAGAGAACAGAAACTCAGAGCCAGACTCCAACAAAATGAAGATAAACTATGCCAAAGGACCCAATGAAGCCTACAAGAATAATTTAAAAGAAGACATACTACAAGTACTCAATGAGAA